AGTCGGTGCAGACTGAGGTGTTCCAGTCGCAGGAAGCCGACGGCAGCATCGTGACAAAGACGGTGAAGACGACGACACGACTTTCGACGTCTGCCAGCGGCGAGCTGGTGAAGACCTTTGAGGTGGAGACGACGACGGAGACAGAGACGACTTCTGGCGAGAAGAGCACCACGGTGGAGACAGAAACGCGCGAGGAGACGGAGGTGGAGGAAAGCAGCCTCACGACGACGTCCGGCAACACGACGACGTCCGTGTCAGGTGGTCAGGCCATCCGCTCAACCGTGGAGGCTGGCGCGGCCCCGGGCGAGTCGGTGCAGACTGAGGTGTTCCAGTCGCAGGAAGCCGACGGCAGCATCGTGACAAAGACGGTGAAGACGACGACACGACTTTCGACGTCTGCCAGCGGCGAGCTGGTGAAGACCTTTGAGGTGGAGACGACGACGGAGACAGAGACGACTTCTGGCGAGAAGAGCACCACGGTGGAGACAGAAACGCGCGAGGAGACGGAGGTGGAGGAAAGCAGCCTCACGACGACGTCCGGCAACACGACGACGTCCGTGTCAGGTGGTCAGGCCATCCGCTCAACCGTGGAGGCTGGCGCGGCCCCGGGCGAGTCGGTGCAGACTGAGGTGTTCCAGTCGCAGGAAGCCGACGGCAGCATCGTGACAAAGACGGTGAAGACGACGACACGACTTTCGACGTCTGCCAGCGGCGAGCTGGTGAAGACCTTTGAGGTGGAGACGACGACGGAGACAGAGACGACTTCTGGCGAGAAGAGCACCACGGTGGAGACAGAAACGCGCGAGGAGACGGAGGTGGAGGAAAGCAGCCTCACGACGACGTCCGGCAACACGACGACGTCCGTGTCAGGTGGTCAGGTCATCCGCTCAACCGTGGAGGCTGGCGCGGCCCCGGGCGAGTCGGTGCAGACTGAGGTGTTCCAGTCGCAGGAAGCCGACGGCAGCATCGTGACAAAGACGGTGAAGACGACGACACGACTTTCGACGTCTGCCAGCGGCGAGCTGGTGAAGACCTTTGAGGTGGAGACGACGACGGAGACAGAGACGACTTCTGGCGAGAAGAGCACCACGGTGGAGACAGAAACGCGCGAGGAGACGGAGGTGGAGGAAAGCAGCCTCACGACGACGTCCGGCAACACGACGACGTCCGTGTCAGGTGGTCAGGCCATCCGCTCAACCGTGGAGGCTGGCGCGGCCCCGGGCGAGTCGGTGCAGACTGAGGTGTTCCAGTCGCAGGAAGCCGACGGCAGCATCGTGACAAAGACGGTGAAGACGACGACACGACTTTCGACGTCTGCCAGCGGCGAGCTGGTGAAGACCTTTGAGGTGGAGACGACGACGGAGACAGAGACGACTTCTGGCGAGAAGAGCACCACGGTGGAGACAGAAACGCGCGAGGAGACGGAGGTGGAGGAAAGCAGCCTCACGACGACGTCCGGCAACACGACGACGTCCGTGTCAGGTGGTCAGGCCATCCGCTCAACCGTGGAGGCTGGCGCGGCCCCGGGCGAGTCGGTGCAGACTGAGGTGTTCCAGTCGCAGGAAGCCGACGGCAGCATCGTGACAAAGACGGTGAAGACGACGACACGACTTTCGACGTCTGCCAGCGGCGAGCTGGTGAAGACCTTTGAGGTGGAGACGACGACGGAGACAGAGACGACTTCTGGCGAGAAGAGCACCACGGTGGAGACAGAAACGCGCGAGGAGACGGAGGTGGAGGAAAGCAGCCTCACGACGACGTCCGGCAACACGACGACGTCCGTGTCAGGTGGTCAGGCCATCCGCTCAACCGTGGAGGCTGGCGCGGCCCCGGGCGAGTCGGTGCAGACTGAGGTGTTCCAGTCGCAGGAAGCCGACGGCAGCATCGTGACAAAGACGGTGAAGACGACGACACGACTTTCGACGTCTGCCAGCGGCGAGCTGGTGAAGACCTTTGAGGTGGAGACGACGACGGAGACAGAGACGACTTCTGGCGAGAAGAGCACCACGGTGGAGACAGAAACGCGCGAGGAGACGGAGGTGGAGGAAAGCAGCCTCACGACGACGTCCGGCAACACGACGACGTCCGTGTCAGGTGGTCAGGCCATCCGCTCAACCGTGGAGGCTGGCGCGGCCCCGGGCGAGTCGGTGCAGACTGAGGTGTTCCAGTCGCAGGAAGCCGACGGCAGCATCGTGACAAAGACGGTGAAGACGACGACACGACTTTCGACGTCTGCCAGCGGCGAGCTGGTGAAGACCTTTGAGGTGGAGACGACGACGGAGACAGAGACGACTTCTGGCGAGAAGAGCACCACGGTGGAGACAGAAACGCGCGAGGAGACGGAGGTGGAGGAAAGCAGCCTCACGACGACGTCCGGCAACACGACGACGTCCGTGTCAGGTGGTCAGGCCATCCGCTCAACCGTGGAGGCTGGCGCGGCCCCGGGCGAGTCGGTGCAGACTGAGGTGTTCCAGTCGCAGGAAGCCGACGGCAGCATCGTGACAAAGACGGTGAAGACGACGACACGACTTTCGACGTCTGCCAGCGGCGAGCTGGTGAAGACCTTTGAGGTGGAGACGACGACGGAGACAGAGACGACTTCTGGCGAGAAGAGCACCACGGTGGAGACAGAAACGCGCGAGGAGACGGAGGTGGAGGAAAGCAGCCTCACGACGACGTCCGGCAACACGACGACGTCCGTGTCAGGTGGTCAGGCCATCCGCTCAACCGTGGAGGCTGGCGCGGCCCCGGGCGAGTCGGTGCAGACTGAGGTGTTCCAGTCGCAGGAAGCCGACGGCAGCATCGTGACAAAGACGGTGAAGACGACGACACGACTTTCGACGTCTGCCAGCGGCGAGCTGGTGAAGACCTTTGAGGTGGAGACGACGACGGAGACAGAGACGACTTCTGGCGAGAAGAGCACCACGGTGGAGACAGAAACGCGCGAGGAGACGGAGGTGGAGGAAAGCAGCCTCACGACGACGTCCGGCAACACGACGACGTCCGTGTCAGGTGGTCAGGCCATCCGCTCAACCGTGGAGGCTGGCGCGGCCCCGGGCGAGTCGGTGCAGACTGAGGTGTTCCAGTCGCAGGAAGCCGACGGCAGCATCGTGACAAAGACGGTGAAGACGACGACACGACTTTCGACGTCTGCCAGCGGCGAGCTGGTGAAGACCTTTGAGGTGGAGACGACGACGGAGACAGAGACGACTTCTGGCGAGAAGAGCACCACGGTGGAGACAGAAACGCGCGAGGAGACGGAGGTGGAGGAAAGCAGCCTCACGACGACGTCCGGCAACACGACGACGTCCGTGTCAGGTGGTCAGGTCATCCGCTCAACCGTGGAGGCTGGCGCGGCCCCGGGCGAGTCGGTCCAGACTGAGGTGTTCCAGTCGCAGGAAGCCGACGGCAGCATCGTGACAAAGACGGTGAAGACGACGACACGACTTTCGACGTCTGCCAGCGGCGAGCTGGTGAAGACCTTTGAGGTGGAGACGACGACGGAGACAGAGACGACTTCTGGCGAGAAGAGCACCACGGTGGAGACAGAAACGCGCGAGGAGACGGAGGTGGAGGAAAGCAGCCTCACGACGACGTCCGGCAACACGACGACGTCCGTGTCAGGTGGTCAGGCCATCCGCTCAACCGTGGAGGCTGGCGCGGCCCCGGGCGAGTCGGTGCAGACTGAGGTGTTCCAGTCGCAGGAAGCCGACGGCAGCATCGTGACAAAGACGGTGAAGACGACGACACGACTTTCGACGTCTGCCAGCGGCGAGCTGGTGAAGACCTTTGAGGTGGAGACGACGACGGAGACAGAGACGACTTCTGGCGAGAAGAGCACCACGGTGGAGACAGAAACGCGCGAGGAGACGGAGGTGGAGGAAAGCAGCCTCACGACAACGTCCGGCAACACGACGACGTCCGTGTCAGGTGGTCAGGCCATCCGCTCAACCGTGGAGGCTGGCGCGGCCCCGGGCGAGTCGGTGCAGACTGAGGTGTTCCAGTCGCAGGAAGCCGACGGCAGCATCGTGACAAAGACGGTGAAGACGACGACACGACTTTCGACGTCTGCCAGCGGCGAGCTGGTGAAGACCTTTGAGGTGGAGACGACGACGGAGACAGAGACGACTTCCGGCGAGAAGAGCACCACGGTGGAGACAGAAACGCGCGAGGAGACGGAGGTGGAGGAAAGCAGCCTCACGACGACGTCCGGCAACACGACGACGTCCGTGTCAGGTGGTCAGGTCATCCGCTCAACCGTGGAGGCTGGCGCGGCCCCGGGCGAGTCGGTGCAGACTGAGGTGTTCCAGTCGCAGGAAGCCGACGGCAGCATCGTGACAAAGACGGTGAAGACGACGACACGACTTTCGACGTCTGCCAGCGGCGAGCTGGTGAAGACCTTTGAGGTGGAGACGACGACGGAGACAGAGACGACTTCTGGCGAGAAGAGCACCACGGTGGAGACAGAAACGCGCGAGGAGACGGAGGTGGAGGAAAGCAGCCTCACGACGACGTCCGGCAACACGACGACGTCCGTGTCAGGTGGTCAGGCCATCCGCTCAACCGTGGAGGCTGGCGCGGCCCCGGGCGAGTCGGTGCAGACTGAGGTGTTCCAGTCGCAGGAAGCCGACGGCAGCATCGTGACAAAGACGGTGAAGACGACGACACGAATTTCGACGTCTGCCAGCGGCGAGCTGGTAAAAACCTTTGAGGTGGAGACGACGACGGAGACAGAGACGACTTCTGGCGAGAAGAGCACCACGGTGGAGACAGAAACGCGCGAGGAGACGGAGGTGGAGGAAAGCAGCCTCACGACGACGTCCGGCAACACGACGACGTCCGGCAACACGACGACGTCCGGCAACACGACGACGTCCGTGTCAGGTGGTCAGGTCATCCGCTCAACTGTGGAGGCTGGCGCGGCCCCGGGCGAGTCGGTGCAGACTGAGGAGATCACGGAGTCCGTGACTGGGGAAACCACAGAGACCACGACAGAAGAGATGGCCGTGACGTTGGCAGACGTCGTCTACGGCATCGAGAAAGTGAGTGATGTGACGAAGCCTATCCTCGGCGTGGCGACAGCTACCACTGTGGGTGGTGTCATCGGTTCTGCCATGAGTGCTGCCCGCTCCAAGGCTACGTCCACGAATGTCGATACGACGGAGATGGAGACGATGGAGACGAAGCCAAGCAAGGGCAAGAACGCGGTGACCGACCTTACTTCGTCAACGTTCCAGTTTGGCGATTTGAAATTACAAAATGAGAACACTCTTGTTGTTATTGGATTTGCTGGTGGAAGGAATACGAAGTCGACGCTGCGGACGGTAAAAGAGGCTTCATTTGAATGGAAATGGCTGTCGGAATTTGTGACTTTTTGTGAGAAGCGGGGTACGGATGTTTCAAGGCTTGCTCCAGGTGAGGTGCGTGACCTTTCTCGGGACTTCTGTACAAATAACTTCCCGAGCTTCAGCGAAAGTCTATATGAAGATGGATCACTGAATGAGAAACAAGCGGTGTGGAATGTAGCACATACTTTATCTGCCCATTTTCCGGAGCTCGCTGTCCATCAATTTGGCGCTCAGTTTGGACAGCACCAGCGCGTCTTGGTAATTAATGAGTTGTCTTGTGAGGATAAGAAAGCACCTGAAGCAGCAAGTGCGAAAGTCTTGATGTCAATGCTAAAGGAATGGCCTACACTTTCAGGCGGCTTTGAGAATGTGCTGGTTACGGAAGACGGTGAGGCAGTATTCTACGGCTCGGCGAAGTCTCTCATCTCATTATACAAAAAGTTCGGTTTCGCCCAGCAACACGATACCAATACCGCTGAATACTTGCTTGGCCTCAGTACTAACGGTAACGATAATGCTCAGTACCATGTTACTGTTATCGATCACGCAAACACAGAAGAAGAAAACCGCCGTACCCGAATCTTGTCCACGTTTGGAAGCTTCCCGGACGATACCGTACTCATCAGTGGAACAACGATAGACGTCAAAGCAGTAAAGATTGATGACAAACAAGTCGACATGCTAAAGTCTTCACAACAAATACGTGCTAAAAATGCGACTACGAGCTCAATTGGAAGCCCGAAGACGGCAACATCTGTCGTGCGCCGCGAAGAGAATTCTACTGAACCTGCAGTCACCGGCAATACAGCGATGAGTAGTCTCTACGCGCGCTATACACGCGAGAGCAATAGTATCGATTCGATGACGTTCTCTGCCGACATAGATGCGGCTGCGCAGGAGATCCATCGCGTGTGCACTGGTGCGACTTCGGACGAGACTGCTTTGGCATCTCTGCTGCTGTCGAAGACTGCGGAGCAGCGCTACCTGATCTGGTGGCGTTATCGCATCCTGTACAAGCAGAGCTTGACGGTGTGGGTAAAGAGCACGAGCGACTACGGCATACTGCTGAAGATGCTCGCGAGTCCCTTGGAGCACGTGGAAGCTGAGATCCTGTACAAGGCAATGAAGGGAATGGGCACAACGGAGGAGTGGATCTACCCGGTTGTGATGGCTCGTTCGAATACTGAGATTACGCTGCTGAAGAAGACATTCCAGGAAAAGTACGGTGGCGATCTGGTGAAGGCTTTAAGCGGCGAACTGAGCGGTGACCTGAAGAAGGTGATCCTGACCGCTATGCGTGGCGAGGTGGCCGACTTCAACGCGTCTGTCCATACAAGCGTGAAGGCTAGTACGGACGCAGATGCCTTGTACAAGGCTGGCAAAGGGCGCGTGAGAAAGGATGAGACGACATTCATCAATATCCTGGTGCTGAGCCCTGCGGAGCACGTGCGCAGCATTAACAGTGCATATGAGGCAAAGTACAAGACGAACCTTATGGGTGCGATCGAGGCGGAGTTCTCTGGCGATGCGAAGCGTGCGATGCTGTTCCTGGTGCGGTCGGTACTGGAGCCGGTAGACCTGCTTGCGGATCTGTTCGAGGCGACGCTGCAGGGTGGTGGTAAGAACGCGTATGGCTTGAGTGCGTGGGTAGTGCGGTACTACCGTCTCCTCGTGCGCATTCGTATCGTGTACATGCGCTTGTACCACCAGGAACTACGCACGCGCATCCAAGGCGTGATGAGTGGCGAGTACTGCCAGTTGCTTTTGTCGGTGCTTGATGCGGCTGAGGTGGAGGTTGGTGCATCTGTGTCAGGATCTGCTTCGACAGGTGCTGATGTGAGCAACTCGAGCGCTAATGTGAGTGGCTCCTCGAGCGTTGCTGTGACCGGTGATGTCGTTGATACAAGCTCGTCAGTGGAGGAGAAGACAAACATTTCGTCAAGCGCTACTGTGAGTGCGAGTGTGACTGAGAGCGAAATTGGTGGCTCGAAGACGGCAACATCTGTCGTGAGCGGCGAAGAGAACTCTACTGAACTGGCAGTCACCGGCAATACAGCGATGAGTAGTCTCTACGCGCGCTATGCACGCGAGAGCAATAGTATCGATTCGATGACGTTCTCTGCCGACATCGATGCGGCTGCGCAGGAGATCCATCGCGTGTGCACTGGTGCGACTTCGGACGAGGCTGCTCTGGCATCTCTGCTGCTGTCGAAGACTGCGGAGCAGCGCTACCTGATCTGGTGGCGTTATCGCATCCTGTACAAGCAGAGCTTGACGGTGTGGGTAAAGAGCACGAGCGACTACGGCATACTGCTGAAGATGCTCGCGAGTCCCTTGGAGCACGTGGAAGCTGAGATCCTGTACAAGGCGATGAAGGGAATGGGCACAACGGAGGAGTGGATCTACCCGGTTGTGATGGCTCGCTCGAATACTGAGATTACGCTGCTGAAGAAGACATTCCAGGAAAAGTACGGTGGCGATCTGGTGAAGGCTTTAAGCGGCGAACTGAGCGGTGACCTGAAGAAGGTGATCCTGACCGCTATGCGTGGCGAGGTGGCCGACTTCAACGCGTCTGTCCATACAAGCGTGAAGGCTAGTACGGACGCAGATGCCTTGTACAAGGCTGGCAAAGGGCGCGTGAGAAAGGATGAGACGACATTCATCAATATCCTGGTGCTGAGCCCTGCGGAGCACGTGCGCAGCATTAACAGTGCATATGAGGCAAAGTACAAGACGAACCTTATGGGTGCGATCGAGGCGGAGTTCTCTGGCGATGCGAAGCGTGCGATGCTGTTCCTGGTGCGGTCGGTACTGGAGCCGGTAGACCTGCTTGCGGATCTGTTCGAGGCGACGCTGCAGGGTGGTGGTAAGAACGCGTATGGCTTGAGTGCGTGGGTAGTGCGGTACTACCGTCTCCTCGTGCGCATTCGTATCGAGTACATGCGCTTGTACCACCAGGAACTACGCACGCGCATCCAAGGCGTGATGAGTGGCGAGTACTGCCAGTTGCTTTTGTCGGTGCTTGATGCGGCTGAGGTGGAGGTTGGTGCATCTGTGTCAGGATCTGCTTCGACAGGTGCTGATGTGAGCAACTCGAGCGCTAATGTGAGTGGCTCCTCGAGCGTTGCTGTGACCGGTGATGTCGTTGATACAAGCTCGTCAGTGGAGGAGAAGACAAACATTTCGTCAAGCGCTACTGTGAGTGCGAGTGTGACTGAGAGCGAAATTGGTGGCTCGAAGACGGCAACATCTGTCGTGAGCGGCGAAGAGAACTCTACTGAACTGGCAGTCACCGGCAATACAGCGATGAGTAGTCTCTACGCGCGCTATGCACGCGAGAGCAATAGTATCGATTCGATGACGTTCTCTGCCGACATCGATGCGGCTGCGCAGGAGATCCATCGCGTGTGCACTGGTGCGACTTCGGACGAGGCTGCTCTGGCATCTCTGCTTCTGTCGAAGACTGCGGAGCAGCGCTACCTGATCTGGTGGCGTTATCGCATCCTGTACAAGCAGAGCTTGACGGTGTGGGTAAAGAGCACGAGCGACTACGGCATACTGCTGAAGATGCTCGCGAGTCCCTTGGAGCACGTGGAAGCTGAGATCCTGTACAAGGCGATGAAGGGAATGGGCACAACGGAGGAGTGGATCTACCCGGTTGTGATGGCTCGCTCGAATACTGAGATTACGCTGCTGAAGAAGACATTCCAGGAAAAGTACGGTGGCGATCTGGTGAAGGCTTTAAGCGGCGAACTGAGCGGTGACCTGAAGAAGGTGATCCTGACCGCTATGCGTGGCGAGGTGGCCGACTTCAACGCGTCTGTCCATACAAGCGTGAAGGCTAGTACGGACGCAGATGCCTTGTACAAGGCTGGCAAAGGGCGCGTGAGAAAGGATGAGACGACATTCATCAATATCCTGGTGCTGAGCCCTGCGGAGCACGTGCGCAGCATTAACAGTGCATATGAGGCAAAGTACAAGACGAACCTTATGGGTGCGATCGAGGCGGAGTTCTCTGGCGATGCGAAGCGTGCGATGCTGTTCCTGGTGCGGTCGGTACTGGAGCCGGTAGACCTGCTTGCGGATCTATTCGAGGCGACGCTGCAGGGTGGTGGTAAGAACGCGTATGGCTTGAGTGCGTGGGTAGTGCGGTACTACCGTCTCCTCGTGCGCATTCGTATCGAGTACATGCGCTTGTACCACCAGGAACTACGCACGCGCATCCAAGGCGTGATGAGTGGCGAGTACTGCCAGTTGCTTTTGTCGGTGCTTGATGCGGCTGAGGTGGAGGTTGGTGCATCTGTGTCAGGATCTGCTTCGACAGGTGCTGATGTGAGCAACTCGAGCGCTAATGTGAGTGGCTCCTCGAGCGTTGCTGTGACCGGTGATGTCGTTGATACAAGCTCGTCAGTGGAGGAGAAGACAAACATTTCGTCAAGCGCTACTGTGAGTGGAGTGTGACTGAGAGCGAAATTGGTGGCTCGAAGACGGCAACATCTGTCGTGAGCGGCGAAGAGAACTCTACTGAACTGGCAGTCACCGGCAATACAGCGATGAGTAGTCTCTACGCGCGCTATGCACGCGAGAGCAATAGTATCGATTCGATGACGTTCTCTGCCGACATCGATGCGGCTGCGCAGGAGATTCATCGCGTGTGCACTGGTGCGACTTCGGACGAGGCTGCTCTGGCATCTCTGCTTCTGTCGAAGACTGCGGAGCAGCGCTACCTGATCTGGTGGCGTTATCGCATCCTGTACAAGCAGAGCTTGACGGTGTGGGTAAAGAGCACGAGCGACTACGGCATACTGCTGAAGATGCTCGCGAGTCCCTTGGAGCACGTGGAAGCTGAGATCCTGTACAAGGCGATGAAGGGAATGGGCACAACGGAGGAGTGGATCTACCCGGTTGTGATGGCTCGCTCGAATACTGAGATTACGCTGCTGAAGAAGACATTCCAGGAAAAGTACGGTGGCGATCTGGTGAAGGCTTTAAGCGGCGAACTGAGCGGTGACCTGAAGAAGGTGATCCTGACCGCTATGCGTGGCGAGGTGGCCGACTTCAACGCGTCTGTCCATACAAGCGTGAAGGCTAGTACGGACGCAGATGCCTTGTACAAGGCTGGCAAAGGGCGCGTGAGAAAGGATGAGACGACAATCATCAATATCCTGGTGCTGAGCCCTGCGGAGCACGTGCGCAGCATTAACAGCGCATATGAGGCAAAGTACAAGACGAACCTCATGGATGCGATCGAGGCGGAGTTCTCTGGCGATGCGAAGCGTGCGATGCTGTTCCTGGTGCGGTCGGTACTGGAGCCGGTAGACCTGCTTGCGGATCTATTCGAGGCGACGCTGCAGGGTGGTGGTAAGAACGCGTATGGCTTGAGTGCGTGGGTAGTGCGGTACTACCGTCTCCTCGTGCGCATTCGTATCGAGTACATGCGCTTGTACCACCAGGAACTACGCACGCGCATCCAAGGCGTGATGAGTGGCGAGTACTGCCAGTTGCTTTTGTCGGTGCTTGATGCGGCTGAGGTGGAGGTTGGTGCATCTGTGTCAGGATCTGCTTCGACAGGTGCTGATGTGAGCAACTCGAGCACTAATGTGAGTGGCTCCTCGAGCGTTGCTGTGACCGGTGATGTCGTTGATACAAGCTCGTCAGTGGAGGAGAAGACAAACATTTCGTCAAGCGCTACTGTGAGTGCGAGTGTGACTGAGAGCGAAATTGGTGGCTCGAAGACGGCAACATCTGTCGTGAGCGGCGAAGAGAACTCTACTGAACTGGCAGTCACCGGCAATACAGCGATGAGTAGTCTCTACGCGCGCTATGCACGCGAGAGCAGTAGTATCGATTCGATGAAGTTCTCTGCCGACATCGATGCGGCTGCGCAGGAGATTCATCGCGTGTGCACTGGTGCGACTTCGGACGAGGCTGCTCTGGCATCTCTGCTTCTGTCGAAGACTGCGGAGCAGCGCTACCTGATCTGGTGGCGTTATCGCATCCTGTACAAGCAGAGCTTGACGGTGTGGGTAAAGAGCACGAGCGACTACGGCATACTGCTGAAGATGCTCGCGAGTCCCTTGGAGCACGTGGAAGCTGAGATCCTGTACAAGGCGATGAAGGGAATGGGCACAACGGAGGAGTGGATCTACCCGGTTGTGATGGCTCGCTCGAATACTGAGATTACGCTGCTGAAGAAGACATTCCAGGAAAAGTACGGTGGCGATCTGGTGAAGGCCTTGAGCGGCGAACTGAGCGGTGACCTGAAGAAGGTGATCCTGACCGCTATGCGTGGCGAGGTGGCCGACTTCAACGCGTCTGTCCATACAAGCGTGAAGGCTAGTACGGACGCAGATGCCTTGTACAAGGCTGGCAAAGGGCGCGTGAGAAAGGATGAGACGACAATCATCAATATCCTGGTGCTGAGCCCTGCGGAGCACGTGCGCAGCATTAACAGCGCATATGAGGCAAAGTACAAGACGAACCTCATGGATGCGATCGAGGCGGAGTTTTCTGGCGATGCGAAGCGTGCGATGCTGTTCCTGGTGCGGTCAGTACTGGAGCCGGTAAACCTGCTTGCGGATCTATTCGAGGCGACGCTGCAGGGTGGTGGTAACGCGTATGGCTTGAGTGCGTGGGTAGTGCGGTACTACCGTCTCCTCGTGCGCATTTGTATCGTGTACATGCGCTTGTACCACCAGGAACTACGCACGCGCATCCAAGGCGTGATGAGTGGCGAGTACTGCCAGTTGCTTTTGTCGGTGCTTGATGCGGCTGAGGTGGAGGTTGGTGCATCTGTGTCAGGATCTGCTTCGACAGGTGCTGATGTGAGCAACTCGAGCACTAATGTGAGTGGCTCCTCGAGCGTTGCTGTGACCGGTGATGTCGTTGATACAAGCTCGTCAGTGGAGGAGAAGACAAACATTTCGTCAAGCGCTACTGTGAGTGCGAGTGTGACTGAGAGCGAAATTGGTGGCTCGAAGACGGCAACATCTGTCGTGAGCGGCGAAGAGAACTCTACTGAACTGGCAGTCACCGGCAATACAGCGATGAGTAGTCTCTACGCGCGCTATGCACGCGAGAGCAGTAGTATCGATTCGATGAAGTTCTCTGCCGACATCGATGCGGCTGCGCAGGAGATTCATCGCGTGTGCACTGGTGCGACTTCGGACGAGGCTGCTCTGGCATCTCTGCTTCTGTCGAAGACTGCGGAGCAGCGCTACCTGATCTGGTGGCGTTATCGCATCCTGTACAAGCAGAGCTTGACGGTGTGGGTAAAGAGCACGAGCGACTACGGCATACTGCTGAAGATGCTCGCGAGTCCCTTGGAGCACGTGGAAGCTGAGATCCTGTACAAGGCGATGAAGGGAATGGGCACAACGGAGGAGTGGATCTACCCGGTTGTGATGGCTCGCTCGAATACTGAGATTACGCTGCTGAAGAAGACATTCCAGGAAAAGTACGGTGGCGATCTGGTGAAGGCCTTGAGCGGCGAACTGAGCGGTGACCTGAAGAAGGTGATCCTGACCGCTATGCGTGGCGAGGTGGCCGACTTCAACGCGTCTGTCCATACAAGCGTGAAGGCTAGTACGGACGCAGATGCCTTGTACAAGGCTGGCAAAGGGCGCGTGAGAAAGGATGAGACGACAATCATCAATATCCTGGTGCTGAGCCCTGCGGAGCACGTGCGCAGCATTAACAGTGCATATGAGGCAAAGTACAAGACGAACCTTATGGGTGCGATCGAGGCGGAGTTCTCTGGCGATGCGAAGCGTGCGATGCTGTTCCTGGTGCGGTCGGTACTGGAGCCGGTAGACCTGCTTGCGGATCTGTTCGAGGCGACGCTGCAGGGTGGTGGTAAGAACGCGTATGGCTTGAGTGCGTGGGTAGTGCGGTACTACCGTCTCCTCGTGCGCATTTGTATCGTGTACATGCGCTTGTACCACCAGGAACTACGCACGCGCATCCAAGGCGTGATGAGAGGCGAGTACTGCCAGTTGCTTTTGTCGGTGCTTGATGCGGCTGAGGTGGAGGTTGGTGCATCTGTGTCAGGATCTGCTTCGACAGGTGTTGATGTGAGCAACTCGAGCACTAATGTGAGTGGCTCCTCGAGCGTTGCTGTAAGAAGTGATGTCGTTGATACAAGCTCGTCAGTGGAGGAGAAGACAAACATTTCGTCAAGCGCTACTGTGAGTGCAAGTGTGACTGAGAGCGAAATTGGTCGCTCAAAGACGGCAACATCTGTCGTGAGCGGCGAAGAGAACTCTACTGAACTGGCAGTCACCGGCAATACAGCGATGAGTAGTCTCTACGCGCGCTATGCACGCGAGAGCAATAGTATCGATTCGATGACGTTCTCTGCCGACATCGATGCGGCTGCGCAGGAGATTCATCGCGTGTGCACTGGTGCGACTTCGGACGAGGCTGCTCTGGCATCTCTGCTTCTGTCGAAGACTGCGGAGCAGCGCTACCTGATCTGGTGGCGTTATCGCATCCTGTACAAGCAGAGCTTGACGGTGTGGGTAAAGAGCACGAGCGACTACGGCATACTGCTGAAGATGCTCGCGAGTCCCTTGGAGCACGTGGAAGCTGAGATCCTGTACAAGGCGATGAAGGGAATGGGCACAACGGAGGAGTGGATCTACCCGGTCGTGATGGCTCGCTCGAATACTGAGATTACGCTGCTGAAGAAGACATATCAAGATTGCTATGGTGTTGATCTTGTGAGCATTCTACGAGGTAAATTGCGAGGTGACTTTATGGAGATAGTTATGGCTGCCGTGCAGGGTAGCTTGGCAAGCTTTGATCCTGCGGTGCACACTGGTGCAAAGGTGGCTGCCGACGCTGAAGCTCTTTTCAAGGCTGGCGATGGAAAATGGGGCACTAACAAAGAGGCCTTTATCCAAATTATTATTTCGAGTCCCGCTGAGCACCTCCGTGCTATTGACACCGCTTACTCGCAAAAGTACAAGAAGGGTAGCATTACCAAGGCGATCCAGGCAGTGTTCAAAAAGGAAGCCCAGAAGGCGCTTCTGTTCCATGTGCGAGCAGTGCTTGAGCCGTTTGAGCTCGTGGCGGAACTGTTCGAAAGCACGATGCAAGGTCTAGGCACGGACGAGTATGGTCTCAGCGCGGCAGTTGTGCGGTATTATTCAATGCTGCCACAGATAAAGACTGCGTACAAGAAGGTGTATGGGAAAGAGCTCAGCAAGCGCATCCGTGATGATACTAGTGGCAAGTATCGTGATCTGCTGCTGGCAATCGTGGATGCCAAGTGACTGTAGTATCGGTTAACAATTCGTATATATCAATCTCATTGGCACAAGTGATCGTGATTCTTAGAAAGTAGCAAGAGAAGACGTCGTTTTCGTCATTCGGTTCATTTTTTTTTCTTCTTTTCAAAGACAAAAGATGCTCGAGTCTTCGGATGTGGCGCCACCAAAATTGACGGAATTGGGCGAGAGCTCACTACTGGATCAGCTGCATGACTTACACCGACGATTAGCGGCTGTGCGACAGAATTCGCAGCGCTACAACTCATTGGCACGCAATTTGGGACCCATTCCTATGGCCAACGACAGTAACAAGATTATTGTGTGTTCACTACGACATTGTGTGCGTATGTTTAAGACGGATCAAGGCGATGGATGGCAATATGAAGCATCGGCTACGGGACTAAAGAGTGCTATTGATTATTTGGGCAAAGGCAACACTGTGCGATGGGTTTCATGGCCAGGTGTAGCCGTGGACGAGTCAAGTCAGGACGGCGTGCGTCGACGTCTGGCCGAGTCACAGTGTCACCCCGTTTTCCTTCCCCATGACATGCTTGATCTATACGTCAATCAGTTCTGTAACGTGGTGCTCTGGCCGCTCTTTCACTCATTGCCGCAGCAGTCGGACAGTCAACTGCTTGAAAACTTTGGGGACAAGTACGACGCCTACTGCTCAGCCAACCAAAAGTTCCTCGAGGTCGTGTCGGAGATCTACAAAGACGGAGACCTTGTACTTGTGTGTGACTACCAGCTCATGATGTTGCCCGGACTGCTACGTCGCCGCTTTTCTGACGTCACATGTGGCTTTTACTTTCACTGTCCCTTCCCGTCCTCTGAGTTCTTCCAGATGCTGCCTGTGCGCGAGGCACTGCTTCACGGCGTGCTGGGTGCCGATTTGGTCGTTTTCAATCACTTTGACTATGTGCGCCACTTTCTCAACGTCTGCACGCGTATGCTTGGGCTCGAGTCGTCGCCCAGTCGCGTAGAGTACAACGGACGCGTCATCTCGCTGGGCATTTGCCCCATGGGCATCGATCCCGTCAAATACGCACTGACGCCCAAGGTGGAGGCCCAGGTGGAGATGCTCAAGCGCCAGCAAGACGGTCTCAAGATCATCGTGGGCGTACACAAACTCGACTTCTGCAAGGGTATCCTGGAGATGCTCGAGGCAATGGAGTATCTGCTACAGCACTACCCAGAGTACCGTACGAAAGTTGTGCTATACGCTATTGTGCGTGATACCGGACGCACAGCATCATTACAGTACCGAATGCTCAGTCGTCAGATTAACGAGCTCGTTGGGCGTGTGAACGGTAAGTTTGGGACAGCCGAATATTGCCCTGTGCGCTATCTAAAGCAGTCCATCGACCACGATCAGCTCGTGGCGCTGTACAACTGCGCCGACGTAGCCATTGTGAGCAGCATCAAGGAAGGCATCAATTTGCAGGCGATGGAATTCATTGCTGCGCAGAAGAAGAGCTGCCACGGGGTGCTTGTCTACAGTGAATTTGCAGGGTGCGTTGTTTGTATAGATGATGTGATTGGAATGATAAATTTGTTGTGGTAATCGAGGTTCTGGATGGTATTTGCAATCAGATGTGCGTCGTCTTTCCAAGGTGCGTTGCTGGTGAACCCGATGCACATTGAACAAGTCGCAGCAAGCGTGGATACAGCCCTTCGCATGAGCACGACCACAAAACGTATTCGACACCACCAATTATCGCGCTATGTGAACACGTACACGTCGACTCTGTGGGCTCAACGAATCATGTCGGCCTTAAATGAGGTAAGCCGGTTGTATTGCATGTCGACACGAGTCAGATGTAACTAAAATGTTTTGGAATGGTGCAGGCTGCTGCAACCGCGCAAGAATATAACCGTCTCGACAAGCTGGACACGGCACAATTGCTTGGATACTATGAGCGAAGCCAACGACGCCTATTCTTGCTGGATTATGATGGCACGCTTGTAAACTACCAGAGTATGGAGGAACTGGCGGAGCCTTCTCCGGTTCTGCTCTCGTGTCTGGAAGATCTCACAGCCGATCCACGCAACACGGTCTACATCATTAGCGGAAGGAACAAGAATCGCTTACAGGTAAAATTTGCTCTTGCGAGGAAGCTGTATGATATGAACGTATTGCTTGGTCGTGCGTCTCCCTAACGGTTGTCTGTCTAGGAATGGTTTGGTCATTTACCGCGCGTGGGACTGGCTGCTGAGCATGGCTATTGGTTCCGTCCGGCTTCCAAGCACCCATCTGCGCTCGATGTAGATGGCAATGGTAGTATTCCAGTCAAGAAGAGTGACCTCTTTGCAGATCTGAGTACCGATGAACCACTGCACGGTGCAGAAACGCTTTCAGTTGTACTCACGGCGGAAGATGACCCGCTGACCAGTTCGTCTTTATCGGTTATGGGGGCAAACGGTAATAACGAAAGTGCAGTCTTTGAAAGAGCTCCCTGGCAGTGCATGTTCAGTGACGTTGAGCTGGAATGGCGCGATGAAGTGGAAAGTATATTGGAGCATTTCACAGAGCGGACCCCTGGCTCACTACTGGACGTGAAGGATTGCTGCTATACATGGCATTTTCGAGACGCCGATCCTACCTTTGGTCTTAAGCAAGCGAAGGACATGCAGCTCCATTTTGATCAGATGCTGCGTGATTTGCCGGTTGGCGTAGTGATGTGTCGAATTAAAAAGTATGTGACGATTCGGCCGTGGCGCGTGAACAAAGGTCGAGCTGTGAGCCGTATCCTGGAGTACGAAAGTGAGACACCGTATTTCACGGCGCTAGACTTTGACTTCATTCTTGCGCTAGGCGACGAACGTACAGACGAAGACATGTTCGATGTCGTCCAGGGCAGCAACTGCTACACATGCACGGTTGGCATGAAAGTTAGTCGTGCACAGTATTATCTGGATGATCCTGATGAAGTTTTGCGCGTGTTGATTGCCTGCACAAGCTTGCTATCGGTTGAGCGGCACTCACTTTCAGCCTAATCACCGCAATCTATTGCTGGGAACGGTTAACAACGAGTTGATCTAAGGGGATGTCTCGATATCGGAGTTTATAGCGTATCGTATCTGATGAATACGTTTTTCCACGCCGTTTGACTTTTATCTACTAGTCTTCGTCTGAAGAACCCTCGCTCACCACATGGGTAACCTTCTTACTGCGAGTGCTTGCCTTTTGTTTGGCTCGCCCTCTCTTCTTCGAAATTGCACGCAAAGTCTTCGTACTTTTCGCGGAAGGCTTGCGCTTCGCCTTGCCCTTGGCTTGCGGCGACGAAACACGCTCCCTGGATTCACTAGGCATGGGTTCATCATCCTAAGTGACCACAAATCGGGTAAGTACCTCCTCTGTGATCTCGCAATCATCATGACAAAATGGCAAACATAGCACTAACCTCTTCCTTGCTTTCCTTCTTACCAACCACAAACTTATCCAGCATGTCAATGGCTTCCTTCATCTCAGCTGTCGTTGTTGCAATGTTCCCCCGCCGAACTTTCGCGATCAGCAACGTAAAATTGTCGGCAACCGCGCTATCATGAAGTGCGTCGCTGTATAGCTTGCGATTCTGGTACAGATACTTGAGCGATTTCTCCGTGTGTGATAGGCGTGTCAGGCAATATGCCAGATTACGCTGCTGCTGCGCCTTAGAGGCCGTCAGGAAACGCTGAGCCAGCTTCTCAACAATACTCTCAATTTGTTTTTCCTTTGTAATGAACTGCATGAGAAACCGCGTGATCGTCTGGAAGTCTGAATTGGATACTAGCTCGCTACAACATTTCACAGCGTGTCAGTCAGTCATGCATGTAAGAATTCAAACGCAGCAAAAAAAAAGATCATATGCCTCTCACCTCGTAGACAGTTGGCCGATTGCGTCTGGTAGCATGTTGTAAATGGGATTATTGCCTTTTTTCGATAGCTCGTAGAAGAAGAGCTTGGCAAGGTCACGAATGCCATCGTTTTCGTCCACCAACGAGTTGGCAATCTCGCTAATTTGTCCCTTCACCTTGATCATGTCGTTAAGAATAAGGTGAGAAAGAACAACAATTGTGTTTTTTCGGACGTTAAGGTTGACATCACGAAGTCGATTGTACAAGTGAGATGTCCAAGGCTCCACCAAGTTAGGGAATCGAAACGAGAGATCTCCTAGCGCGATGATCACATCACCTCGCACGGAAGGCTGCGGAGAATCCTGGAGGATCGTAAACAGCAACTGCAAGTGATTCTCGCAAAATTCTTCGGATACAGCCATGAACTTGCTCAGAGCTACTACCGCGCACTCGGTCAGTAGCTCGTCGCTTTTAAACTCTTTCTCTGCGCCGACGAGCACACGGATGATAAGTGGACCATACACTCCAAGCAGGTTGCGGCAGGCAATTTCCTTTTGAATAATATTGTTCACGAATGTGTCTTCCTCTGCCTCAACCTCAGCAGCCACACCAAGTTCATCCTCCATCGCGGTAACATCTTCGGCGTCGCCATTTGGCGCCGAATTATCAGCGGGTCCTGCCGCTGCATTGCGATTGCCACGCATTTTCTTCACTTTCGCAGCCAGCTTTTCCACATGAATAGCTACTTTCACTGCCGAGTGACCCAACACGAAAAAGAAATGTGCCAGCTCTACACGCGACACATCGTTCGTATCACTTTCAAAGAGGCGCAGCGATAGATGCTTAATCACGTCACCACAAACGTCCTCTGGGCGCTCGCAGATGGAAAAGATGGATTCAATTGCTTGTTGCACGGTGTCAAACCACGTAGAATGCAGGCACTCCATTTCAATTCCATTGTCACTCACAAAATTTAGAGCAAGAAATTGCTGCAAGCGGAGAATGATCTGCTCTGTCGCGTCTAGATTCGAGCGTTGTATGCGTCTTTGGGTTTGACTGTTCGATTTGGTTATTGAGGTTTTCGGTTCCAGCTGAATGCATTGTACCAAACGACAGGCAGCTCCAAGAACACGATATCGTGAGTCCGGGCTACATGCCACGTCGCCAAAACCCATTGTGAGGACCTGCCGGAGACGATCGTTCGAAAATAACATCGAATCATCAATATTTGCGATCATGCTAAGTAGAGCCAATGCATTGCTCACAACAGATACTGGGTACACTGTCACATCCACAAACCCCCAAAGAGAGCTAATTACCACCATTGGCACCTTCTGGCTACGATGGAGTTCCCCCATGACGCGCTCAAGACACGTGTACTCAGCGACGGTGCACTCATCTAAGAACTTCACAAGGTTTTCTGCTACCAGCAGTGGCGAGTTTCGCTCAGAGTCATCCTCATCGATACGAATGAACAACGCCACGAAAGTATTGGACAATTGCTCTTGAATCGATACATCAGACCGCCATGTCAGTGGCAAAATTTTCTTGATTCCGGCTTGAGCTGCGCCAAGATGGAAGCGGTATGCTTTTTCAAAAAACTGGATGGCTTCCAGTACATCAGAAACTGATTTACTGCCCAGCAGCTGACCCATTAATGGAATTGCTTGCAGCTCGAACTCGTCAATAAAGTCGATTGCGTCCTGGTGAAACTTTAACAGATGCACAGTCTTCTGCAGCTCTTTTTCAAGTACCGCAGCTTGTTCTTCCAAAGATATAGCTGATGTAGGAGCTTCCATGCCTTCTTTCAGTAGGGTGATTCCACCCATCGCTTCGTTCATCTCCTTCTCCGCACCGGCTATTACTTCATCCCGCTTTTTCGTCATCTTTTCTGTTAACGCGTCACGCTTCTTCGCATAAAATTCACGATCTAAGTTTCCCATAAAAGGGTTTCTTTCCAGTAGTAATGAAAGCAAGTGGATGCTGTGACGGCGAACCACCGCCGCCTTATCCTGCAATCGCCCCACGGCCATTAATGTCACGTTCTTTAGCATATGCAGCGGGAGGGCACCTTCTTCACACAAGAGAGCCCACATTTTCAATACATGGCCGCGTGCAAATGAGTTAATGTCGTGGGTGCGATCCTCAAGCACGCTAAGTAACTGGTCTCTTGTTGAGCGAGAAAAAGTACGTGGAGCTTCGGCGTTGAACGTTCCAGCGTCTTCACCAATTATGTCACTGCTACTGTCGTCCTCTTCATCACTGCTACTTTCACTGTCCGACACATCGCTCGTGACTTCTCCGTTTTTCTTCTGCTTTCGCAATTTCTTCTTCGCCACAGTGACCGCAGCATCATCTGGTTCTTGCTGTCCGCACTGGCGGAAATTCCAGAGCAAGATTTGTGTCACGCATGTAACAGCAGCATTCCGGAGCTGATACGCTTCCGAGTCCAACAAAGCTAGCACAAAACTCAGGTTCCCCATGATCAACGCTGGGGTGAGCGTTGACAGACTTGAAAGAAACATGGCAATGTTCCGCGTTCCCGTCACATCTTTCGAGGCGTCCCGAGACGATATTTTCCCAATCTCACTAATGAGATCCGACGCAAAGGTTGTGTTGGAATACTTGAAAACTAGCAGCTCCACCAGCTCAGCAATGGGGGCGCTCAGATGCTCGTGTGTGTAGATGAGGTCAATGAGTGAGGCCACCACCGAAATGTGGATAGCAGGGGCCTTCTGTAGACTCATTGCAAGAAGCTGCAATAGAAACAGCAGTACACAAATTAGTCAATAAGCAACAACTCTAAGACTGGAAAGCACAACTAACATGGTAAAGCTTCGGCTTGAGCAATTTTCCACGGCAGAGCGTCGCATTGCCCAGCAGCTCAAAGACCACTTTGCAGTAGAGCATAGAGAATTCCTAGCATAAGTCGGCAGTAACGTTAGCAGAGTCAAACAGCTCATCCTTTTGTATATGACGCACCTCCTCTGGTACTTTCATGTTCCACAAGCCAAACGTCGTTGGGCTGACCGAGCGACTGAGTTTATGAATAGCTCCCTCCATCACTTTACTCCAATTGATGCGGTTAATAGTCGACGCCTGACTCTTCTTTGCCTTAAAAATACCCTTTTCAGCTTGTAATTGTAGACTGCAGACACTTGTGAGCGCTGTAACAAGAAAGTAGACACTGGCCTTAAAAGCACTGCGGATCAATGTCACGTCCTCCTCGTCCTCCTTGCGTCTTGCCAAGACACTCTCTGTTACGTTGCTCACAAAGGCCGCCAACATCTCGACTATACGCATTCGCAATGGCTCTACAAGCACTGGAAGCTTCTTGACAAGACTATATGTCAAGTCCAGCCATTCGTCCTCAAGCAGCTCGAGTCCCGCCTCACTGCTTAGCACTTGGTCTTCCAGTTGCTGCACCCGTGTCAAGATCTCTACTTCCGTCTCATCCTCAAACGTCTGCACTGATTGCACGTGATAACGTCCCGCCTTGGCCAATTCGAGGTCCGCAACATGCAACGGCACGAGGAATTCCATTGCGGAAAGGCTGGTACTAGTACAAAATGGAGCGTCAATGAGCCAATCAAGGGCGGACCTTAAAGCAAAAATCTAATCAAACAGGCGAATAAGGAAAAAACCCATCCTGATAATTTCAAGAACCATTCTACAAGACGAAAAAAAACTTGTTTGTGACCATCATCATGTTCATGCTGCCATATTGACCGATTAGACGTCAAATTTGAAATGCCTTAAATTACCTGAGGACTATATCTGTTCGAAGAAGTCGTTAGTGACTACGCTAATGTACCTATTCAATGCTCAACAGGGGCCACAGCTAAAAAGGAGATACTGTAGACCAAATTTTTCCTTCATAGTGTCTTTGGTTATGGCAAGGGAACGGAGGTTTCGCTGTCGTCATTGGAAATGATACTATCCTGAGTACTTCAACAAGTACGGTCTCTTCAGTGAGACGGCAGCGTCGCGAAATGGCTTCTGCGAGATGTAAGGCGTCTTTTTATCACGTGGTGATGTCAGCGATCAGCTGTATACCCTTGAAATGGAGTGACAGGTGATGTTGTTCATGGTGAGGTTGACCTTGAGGCCTTCCTATCGTTTAACGCTCTATTGGATCTAGACGAAATGTATGTGGATGAATTTCATCAAGCCTTGAAGGCTTATGGCGGTCTATCCGATATGGTGGTCATTCGACCCGACCTTCAGTAAAATTCATCTTCGCTTGTCGATGAGACACTTCTTGAACATACAAGGCGGCACTTAGTGCACGTAGTAGGTCCACTATCTTGCAGTATCCTTCAGATCCCTACTAATCTTCAATCAAGGAATTTCAAGACGTGGTGTGTTATGATCCACCGTAGGTTCTACCTCCTGGTAGGGGTGTACGTCATGAATCTGATGTATTTCCTGGAACCAAATACTGCGTATAACGGTAGTGGCCTCTGCCAAAAAAAACAGTGTGACGTCATTGACGAGTTCTTCCGTGTCAAGCACGCGGCGGGTTTGGTGCGTGATAGTAAATCTCCGCACTTGACACCAACTTTCTGTGTCAAGAAGCCGAATGGTTAGTGGTGAATTGTTCAGGCTTATCATAAGTTCAATGCCGCCACTATACCTGCGCAGACGCCGATACCTAGATGGGATGTTCTTCAGAACAATATGGTCGGTTGTACCATGTACAGTGCTCTCGACTTAGTCGATGAATACTATCAACTGATCATGCGAGCAAGCGATATTTCGCTAAAAACGGGCATACTTCGAGCGGCATGCTCTGGAAGCGCCCCCTCCAAGCTTCTACGTCGCTCCACCTGTTCCGGGAGGGATACCATTTGGCCCCCCGACGTCAGCAGGTGTTAGACGGCTTAAGATACGCAAGTTGAACCTCAGGATAGTTGGCCTGAGGTGTCAAAACACCCAAAACTCGCTACAGGAACGGTTTCCATACGGGGAACAAGAAAAGGGGTCTAAGGACAAAGAAGCCGTTAGACACCGAAAAAAGGACATAGTACCAGGTGCGTTGAAACAGTCGACTGAGCCCAAGATATCCCGGGCCCGAGTAAAGTATATCCACTCTTAGACCACCAAGTCCCTCCATACAAGAACCAAGTCTATAAGTCTTCTGCGTCTAACAAGGAGCAAGACCAGCCAAGCCGACGGGTACACAAGGTAAGAGCCAAGGTTGACACGACACTGTATCGTTATACCCCCTCCGTAAGTCGGAAGTCCGGCGCTGTGTGTGTTTGTGGTTCTCCTAGGTGGTTTGAATTTTCGCTCCACCTGTAACGGGGCGAGCCCGTTACATAATATTGACACTTATATGAAGTGTCAATAAAAATATTATTATAACTAATAATATTTTGACAATATTACCTTTTCTTATAATATTGTTCCTAGATCTCCTTGAAGTTGGAGATGCCCTCTCATTGGTTGATATGGGCCATCATATCAACCAACGCGCTGACCAATGACCGATGGACGCGCGCAATGAGTGGAGGGCAAGTTGTCAACATACATAGTTGTAGTTTAATATAGTTAACATAGGTTATAACAGATTAGTTTTATTAGATAGTTAACTATATTAAATACAGTTTTCTTTTCCTTCTCAACTAAGCGTTTGTTTAGTTGATAAGCTTCCTCTTCTCACGTGTACGTGAGGTTTTGAGGCACCTGCTTTCACTGTAATCAGTGAAAGTAGACTATACTGTAATCAGTATAGTCGGAGGGTGCCCCATTACACCTGGTAGTACTTCGTGGTCCGTTCAGCGACCACCGCACCATCCGCTATGGAATCAGCGGGTGATGAACGTCATCACGCAACGCGTGATGATTTCCGCCATTTGAGTGAACTCGAATGGAATGCGGTTCAGCGTATGGCTGAAACCATCGGCAACCCTGCCGTTGGTGCCATGTTGCTCTCTCTTAGCGGAGACGACCAACATGCAACCATCGCCAAGTTCATACAACATGAACTTGACGAAGTTGTAATGAAACTCACCTTGCTAGAGGAGTAAGGTTCTCAACAGGTTGAACTGTTGAGAGAACAAGGCGCTAAACAAGCTGACTTGTTGATGCGGCTTGGTGCTCAACAGTCTGAACTGTTGAGACAACAGCAGGCTAGTGCTGTTGCTGTTGGTCGACGTATACACGTCGACCCGAGTCCTTGAAGATTGATGTCTCCAAGTACAAGGCAGGCAAAAGCGACTCCTTATTAAGATGGTTCGTCGAGCTCGACGATGCCATTGAGGCTTGTCGCATCGATGACGATGCGATGAAGGTCAAGTTCGCCATGTCGAACTTGGCAGGACGTGCCAAAGCTTGGGCCTTAGGACCCATACGTTTTCCCAACGTATGACGTCTTCAAGGCGCGGCTCAAACACACATTTGAACCGCCTCGCGCCGAATTCAGGGCTCGGGCTAAGCTCCTGGATTTGAAACAGGGTAAGCGTGATATACACGCTTACGCCCAACACGTACGATACCTCGTTAGTTGTATCGTACTGAACCCAATCGATGAATACACGCAGGTTACTGTGTTCATTAAGGGTCTGACAGATGGTCCTGCTAGACCCACCTTCTCCGCTTGGAACTAGAATCGCTGGACCAAGCAATCTCTGCAGCGAAACAGGAGGACTTTAGCCTGCAACAGGCTCACGTCCACTCGGGGTCCTATCGTCCACCGAGACGACAGGAGGGCGGAGGTCCAGAACCAATGGACCTCTCCTATGTAGAGAGCGAGCGACCTCTCTCTCCAGGGTACAAGCGATTGCAAAAGTGCAATCGCTGTCAGAAGTTGGGCCACTACGCCTATGAGTGTATTGCCCCACGCCCAGTGTCTCGTAACACTGTGAGTGACGATCGACCGTCTGCCAAGAAGGGCCAGAGGCGTGGGTCACACGTTGCTGCGAAATCGCAACAACGTGGTGGACCATCAAAAAACGGTCGGGGTCAGTAGGGGCGGAGCGCCCTACTGATCCAGTAACGTCAAGCGAGTTCGCGGGACTTTGACGAAGGTTTCTCCCAACACACTGTCACTGTGTGTTGCCGCTCCCAGTGATGAGGTATCCTTCATCACCTTGAAGATCAAAGTGACAAAGAACATGTCACTTCGCGCCCTACTTGATTGTGGGGCTTCGAACAACTTTGTTCGACGCCAATCGCTAGATGATCGTAGGCTCAAATATGTTGAGCGCGAGACCCCTCCAACGAGGATGACGGTGCGCCTTGCAACTGGCGCATCCGTAACAGTAAAGAAACGTGTAGTGGGAATTCACTACACGCTTGAAGGCAAAAGTACGATGATGTTTTTATCGTACTTGACCTGGATGACAAATTTGATGTCATCCTAGGATTACCATGGCTCAGAAGGTACGAACCATGGGTCAGCTGGCAGCATCGAACCGTGAAGATGCCTGCCGCTTGTTCATCAGATGGCCATCTGATGAACGTCTTGGAGCGTTCACAAGCGTGTGAATGTACTACGAGTGAGTGTGATGTCCTCACTTGGGGTTCGGTCGTTAGTGCGACTGCACAAGAACTTAGCGTGACAGACAGTCACACTGTGGAGCAAGCTGCCGGCGGCTGTGCACAAGCACAGGTAGCGCCGAAGGTCCACCTCTCGAATAAGTCGAGTGGACCGGGACATGAATGCTCGCCTAGAGGGCAGCATTCACCGAAGAGTAAACCGGTTGCCCAGAAGCGGCAACACGGAAATCCTAGATAAACTGGAGAGTTGATCGTAGAGGATCTCGCTGTGGTTGCGCCACCACAGCTAGAGGAAGTCGGTGGAACAAGTTCCATCGAGCCTGCGGGAATAAGTACCCAGGAAGGAACCGAGACATTGAACGTCTTGGTTAATGAAGGATCAAATGTAGGCGCTTATACGCTTGATCTGATCGCGCCTCCGAAGTTAACTTCGGAGATAACTCAGTTGCCTACGCTAGAACCTAAAAGGTTCTTGCGTGATCTGCGTAGTGGCAAAGTCAAGCAGATCTGTGTGCTTGTCGCAGAGGACGAGTACATGACTGACATTCGGTCAGCAACAGTTTTTGCCGAGAACGAACGGGTTCTCAGCAGCTAATTAATGGACGAGAGTGTCCTTGATGAGAAGACTCGGATTGAGCGATATACATCGCAATCCTGGGTGTCGCTGAAGTCAAATCCTTTGTACAAGGATTTGGTCGAATTTAAGGATGTCATCCCTGAATCCGTTCCGTGCGAGTTACCTAAGGATAAAGGTACTCGACACGAGGTCGACCTTGTTCCTGGCACAAAATATTGTGTCATGAAGCAGTGGCCACTGCCTCGGGAACAGGTCGAGGCGATCGACAAGTTCTTTGCCGATCGCCTAGCAGCGGGCCATGTGAGGGAGTCAACTTCACCTCACAGCTCTCCGACCTTCTGTGTGCGCAAGGCCACAGGAGGGTGGTGGATAGTGCACGCGTTCAATAAGTTGAACGCTGCAACGATACCGGCGCAAACGCCGATACCGAGAAAGGACGTAATCATAGATGGTATGTCTAAGA